CCCCAAAACCCCAAAACCCCAAAACCCCAAAACCCCAAAACCCCTTCCTCTAAAATCAGGTTGAATCTTAAATGGTATTTTAGGTTGTTACTTCCTGTACTCCCGATATTTCTCTTCTTTCTTCTTAGTTATCTCTTCTATTGCTTGCTTAGGCGGTTGGAAATCATTCCTGACTCTGTTCTTCCAGTATTCTAGATATAAGATAGAAAGAATACCTCTTTGTCTTTGTCTTCTCTTTAGTTGAGAAATATAGTCAGAGGAGAGTTGGTCTCCCCATGTATTAAGCTTATTTATGAATAAGAGGATGCTCCATGAGTGTATTCAACTGAGTATCATCAAAATTGAATGCTGCTTTTAAATCCTCCTTGGCCTTAGATAAATTACGTTTCGATATCCTACAAAAACTGGTTATCTAACAAAACACACTTCAGGCCAAAGTAACACTAGTTTTTTTGTCTAAGATCCCTTTGAACTTACCTTCCTCCGTCAGAATTCCCTCTTCTCACCCCAGAAATAGATCCTTCAGCTTGCTTCCTCTCTGAGTCAGGCTCCTTGCCTAGATCCTTAACGATCAGCTTCGAAAGAGAATCTGGCAAATTATCCGTATTTCTATTAAGCGCAGTGCAAAGACTGAGATTCTTCCTCTTGCTTGAATTTGTAGTGGTCTCACTCCCCCTTCATATACTGGGAATCTTGACTAGAAGGATCAGGACATGCTTACTTGTTGGATTCGAGGTCGTATCTATAGATTTACGCACAGAAGATGTATGGAAGTTAGTCCCTCCTACCCTTCGAGAGTCATATGAAACAGAAGCTGTAGGCTCTGTGTCGACTTTATGGGTAATACCTCCCCGATTAGATACATTTATCTTCCTCCTCTGACTTGCTTTTGAGGGAGTTGAGTATGAGATCATACTTTTATTAGACCTGTTTCTTCTATTGAATGCTGGTAGTTCCTTTATTTTCCCTACATCTGGCTTTTTCGGTAATGAATCAAACGAAGAATTCATTTTGAACTAATTTAGATATATGAGGCTATTAGCTTACTTCATCCAGTTTAAGATTTCCCTTCTTAGCCAAGCTATTGGCACTATCGTAGTTCTCAAGATACTGCTTGTTTTCCTTAGAAGCAAGGGGAGAATTCTTATAAACCTTCCCAATATTAAATACACTTTGAGGATTAGTGTTGTTTTTAAGATATTCTGCAAGGTCAAATTCAATAGTCTTAGGATCCACTTTGTTACGTTGTTCTTCTCGTATACGCTCAAGTTGTTCGAGCCTCATCCTCTGCCTTTCTTCAAGGCTTTGGTTTTCGAGGGATTTTTCTAGGTCCTATATAATAGCTCTCTAAAATCTGCAAAATAAGTGCCTGACCCTAAAAATCCATTCTATGCTGCTAATTTCTACTAAATCCAAGTCACTTGCCTGTTTAACCTGCATTGAAAACAATACATCTCCCTCCTTAATCTGTCCAATCCGCCTAAAAATGATAATTCCAGATACATTTGCTTCTCTTCGTCGACATCTCTAACCTGGCTAAACACCTTATTCTTCAGTTGGAGCCTTTGCTGTCTTTTATTCTCTATTTTCCTGGCTTCTCTTTCTATATTACAAATGCATGAAACCCAACTCAGACAATTGATAAATTATTAAAGGAATATAGCTGAAGTGGGAGCTTGACTAAGAGCCAGGGGTTAGCCCCTGGCCTTCTTTTGTGCATGTAAAAAATTTGTTCGGGATTTTGTGATTTTTCAAAGGAATTTTTAGTACTAAATATTTAAAAATTTAGGATTTAGATGGCTGAGAAGTAGAGCAGTGGGATTTTTGGAAGGGAATAATAAGCATTTAGGGCTTAAAGGGTTAGTTTGTGGGGCTAGAGATATGTATACTCCCTCTGAAAGGTATTTTTGATATAGATTAATCAGCTAATGGACAATTTAAGTATATGAACTGTATTAAAACAGAAAGTACATCCTTTTTAACATAAGATTGCTCCTATCGCGAAAAGAGAAGTTTGGGGTATTAAAATTTCATTAGGAGTCTTAATCACCATGTACTTTGTCTTTGAAGTTCATCCTCTTGAAGTAGCTTTGTAAAAGCATCCTCAAGTTGCTTCTTCTCATCTAGGAAGGTTAGCAAGGAGTTACCTTTATATTGCTTGTGAATTTCACTTGTAATTTCTGTGATTTGCTTCATCTTTCTAATGATTTTAATTATTCTTCTCTTTCTCTTGCTTTCGCTGGAGGGAGTTAAAACATCGTTTAGTTATAAATAATATTCACAAGTAAATAATTTAATCTTTGAGCTAGAACTTGATTAACCAATATGCTAAATCATGGTAAAAAATATTAAAGGTCATTAGATTTACAGTCTTAATGATTTTGTCTCTCTGAATACGATTCTGAATAGGTTTTAGATGTCCCTGACTATATATCATTTATATTTTCAATAATTCTATATTTCTCAGGGGTTTTGGGGTTTTGGGGTTTTGGGG